TAATACATTACTATCATAAGTCAGTTTCTCTAATCTTATTTGTACATTTTTCACTAAAATTTTCTTATCAGTGTTCTTTCTGATATGTGTAATGGATTTTCTGTGAAATTATCTGCCATGGAAAGAATGTCAAGTTGGACAAAGACTGCTGTTTTGAGAGATGGTGTAAGTTTTATTTGAGTTAGAGGATTTGTAAAATAATACATCTGTGGATATTTACAATTTGTTTGTTTTTTCCTCTTTTTAAAATTGTGTACAGTAGGTTCCCATGTTATACACTGGGTTTCCTCATATGAGTTAATTGCTTCACAAACTAAGATATGTATGATTCTTGTTTGTATTGCCAAAAATATTATATGTGCTTTTGCTTGTATAAATATTCATCCTCTTTTTCCATGACTTTTGTATTTTATCTTGATTGGCTTTTCATTCTGCTCATGTATGTAGAAATTGAAGTTTTCTATGTGTAATTGTATTGGGGATTGATGGCTGTGATACTCTCATCCTGAACTACACCCCGAGCTCCTTGCCACTCATATTTGGAGAGAGGTTCTCACTAAGTTATTGAGGATTTCTTGAATTTGCAATTCACCTGCCTCAGACTTCCTAGTAGCTGAGATTACATGCATGCTCATCATTTGTATATTGATGAGCTTGTTCTTATTTCAAGGATAAAGACCACATTATTTTAAATGTAGCTTTGAGAAATGTTGCAATTCTATTTATCTATTAATTTTCGGTGTAATCAAAACCACAAAGTAAAACTTACTGTCTCCAAAATTGTAAATATACAGTTCAGTAACATTAATTCAAATTGTTATGCAATATATCTCTACAAAGTTTACATCTCAAAAAAAAACCAAAAAACGAAAAACCACAATGCCTAGGAATCAAGGGCTCATTTCTGTCTCCTTATCACATAACTATTCTCTTTTGTTTAGAAAGCTTCTTTTTTAGTTTACAGATGTCATGTTCATAGAATTCTGCAGTATTCTGCTGTGACATATCAGTTAACCTAGTGTACATAAATTTTGTAAAATATATAATTAGAATAAATTCTTTGACTTCCAAGTTCTGTAGTTTTCTATTCCAAAATGGCTCATCCTTCTTTTCAAGGGATATTTGGTTTGCATACCCCATGATGGCTCTGTTGAATAACAATGTAACAACACTGGTATGCAATGTTTTTAATTTGCTATTGATGTGAGGGCTTATTGCCACACTCACTAAGAACTCCATCTACCTGACTCCATGTTTGAATTTACAATTAAATGCTATGATTTTTAGTATATTTTTTAGCAGGGAAATAATCTTATTTGTATTTTGGGGGATATTCATACAATTTAAAGGATAGATTTCTCTGCAAAAAAAATTTTAACAATGGGAGGTTGATGAATATTACATGGAGCCTCTAGATAATTTTAAGTAGTATAAACATCTTTAAATTTAATCTTTCAATTTWGAACATCATGCCCAAGAGTGTTCAATCAACTGACACATATTTAGGGATTTTTGAAAATCCCTACCACTTTTGACTTCAAATATTCATTCCATGTTGGTTACAAAATAATCACTTAAATATTTATTAACCTTTGTTTTAATATATAAACTTGATCTCACCAGCATAATATCCCACTTGTGATTAAGAACAGGGATTCCATAAGTCTATAGTAGTTTCAAAATATTTTCAAAGTCTTATGCTTTGCAATTACCATTTTGCTTCACTCTATTTCCCTTTTCAGTAAGTAGGGATTTATGAGTCTTAGTATGACGGTGATTCTTTGTTTTCATTCAACCCTCTCAGTGTTTTCTTAGTGTGTTTGGGAAATATGAAGTACGTAGCGAATGTATTTACTCTTAATTCAGAACCTAGGGAAAGGGACCTTTTCTTTCTTTTGCCACTTTTCAATGTTTTTTTTTTTTTAAATTTAAACGTCTCCTATATCCTATAACTGTCTTAAACTATGTTTTGTGTACTATAATTTAGACACCCCAGGTTTTGTTCGATCACTTTTGTATGTGTCATTATTATATCCATTTGGTTTCAGTATATGCATGTTCTTAGATTTAGTGTATCCTGTAGACTATGTACAATTGCAATATTTAGAGTTATTCAGATATCCAAGTTTTTTTTGATCAGAATTTTGTAATCTTGCATTTGCCAACAAAAAACTCTAAAAATATAATTTCATACTCATACTTTGTATGAGTATCAATTTGACTTCACTTTATTAAAAAATGAATATATTTATGTGTCCTTTTAAGATTACATTTTTGTTACACGTATATATGCCTATTAACAGTATTGTTGTTATGCTTTTTTCTTTTAAATTCTATTGCAAAATTACATGTTTGGAGACCCGTCATTACAATAAAATAGAATTGTTTTTGCCAAGAAATGTTTAAAATTTTATATGACTTATGATGGTGTGCACTTACATTTTATTATGAAAGATTACCTTTAGTACATTTTGGAGAACAGATCCAGTGTTGATGAATAGTGTGTGTATTTTTATTTGATTTATATATTTCTACAGTAATGATAGACTTGGATTTAATAATCCACTCCCCTGCTTATGTTATTATTTGCTGTAATTTCTTAGGTGTCCAAAATATACTCAACCCAGTACAGTAAGTAAACATGTTTGTTATTTTTATTTATTACAGCCATGACTTCTCATCATCCTCGAGAAATTTTACCAGAGCAGGGAATAAAAGAGAGAGAGGGAAGATATGGAAAGTGTGACTTTGACTATCTACAACCAAGAAAACAATGGGAAAATATAGGTGAGAGTAAAGTTCAAAAATTGTATTATATTAGACAAAATCAATCAGTAGTCCCTATTTATGATAAAAATTTTTTGGTCAAAAGACACCAGAGACAATTAATATCTGAAACAAAAATTCAATGTATTCCAATTATTTTGAGGAGTTTTATATGTCTTTAAGAATAAGTCCACAGCCATTTTTGAACTGAAAGGCAATGTGGAAAATTTGAAATCTAGTCCATGCATCAGGTTTTAACTTGGCCAATTATAAAAGTAGCACTGAGTTAAAATTCCAGTCAAACATTTGCATAGAAAAGATATTTCTAAAAGTGAACCTTTTGGGAGTTTCTTTATAAAATGCCTATTTTTCAGAAACAAAAGATGAATTTCTCCTTGTGCACAAATGGACAAAATATTAAAAATTGTAGAAAAATTTCTACTTCCCCACTATTGCTCAATGGAAATTATGATATAGATTTCTGAAAAGTGTACTATATTGATAATGCTATAAGTAACACAATAAACCATGTCTCTACCGTGAGTAATGAGCAGTATATTTACATTGGTGATAAAAATTATGAGTTTAGAGAAATGCCAGTTCTTTTCTAAAGGAAATATACCAAGATGAAAAATGTAGGAAATTCTTGTTTCAGTAATCTAAAACTAGTATTCATTAAAATATTCATAGCCAAGACAAAACCTGCAAGTGTAAGATATGTGAAAGGGCTCTTAACCACABTGCAGAGCTTGCTTAATACAAGACAATTTATAGAGAAAGAGAGCCCAATAAGTATAGAAAATATTGAGCAGGCAAATGCTTTGATATATTTTTTAAACACAGCAGATACTATGACAGTGATAAATTCTACAAATTTAAAGAATGTGGAAAAAATTTAGTGAAAAGTTACAATTTGTTAAGCATCAGAGGATTATAATGAAGGAAAGACATGTAAATGTAAAAAGTGTGGGAAAGCCTTAAAACGTTTTTCAACCCTTACTAAACACCAAACAAATTATTCTGCAGAGAAGACCTACCAATGTGAAGAATGCAATGCACTCAAGAACTTTACTCAACATCACAGTGTTCATATAGAAGATATGCCATGCAAATGCAAAGAATGTGACAAAACTTCTAATAAAAGATCCAATCTTATTTGTCAACAGTGGACACACCCTGGTGTGATGCCCTACATATGTAAACAATTTTGCAAAGATTTCAGTCCAAAACCAAGACTTAAAAATTACCAGAGAATTCATACTGGAGAGAAGCTCTTCAAATATAAAGTATATGGCAAAAGTTTTAATAGAAATTCACATCTTGGTTGCCACAACAGGATTCATACTGGAGAAAAGCCCTACAAATGTAAAGTGTGTGGCAAAAGTTTTAATACGAACTCGCATCTTGATCGCCACAACAGGATTCATACTGGAGAGAAGCCCTACAAATGTAAATTGTGTGGCAAAAGTTTCAGTCAAAAATCATCACTTACTCATCACCAGCGAATCCACAGTGGAGAGAAGCCCTACAAGTGTAAAGAGTGTGGCAAAGCTTTTAATAGCATCTCACATCTTTATTGCCACAACTGGACTCATACTGGAGAGAAGCCCTACAAATGTAAAGTATGTGGCAAGAGTTTCAGTCAAAAATCATCAGTTACTCTGCACCAGCGAATCCACACTGGAGAGAAGCCCTACAAATGTAAAATGTGTGGCAAGAGTTTTAATATAAACTCGAATCTTGATCGCCACAACAGGATTCATACTGGAGAGAAGCCCTACAAATGTAAAGTGTGTGGCAAGAGTTTTAATACAAACTCACATCTTAATCAACATAACAGGATTCATACTGGAGAGAAGTCCTACAAATGTATTGTGTGTGGCAAGAGTTTTAGTCAAATATCATCACTTACTCGGCACCAGCGAATTCACACTGGAGAGAAGCCCTACAAATGTAAAGAGTGTGGCAAAGCTTTTAATAGTACATCACAGCTTAATTGTCACCAAAGGATTCATACAGGAGAGAAGCCCTACAAATGTAAAGTGTGTGGCAAGAGTTTTAATCACATATCATCACTTACTCGGCACCAGCGAATCCACACTGGAGAGAAGCCCTACAGCTGTGAAGAATGTGGCAAAGCTTTTAATAGCATCTCACAGTGTAATTGGCACAAAAGTATTCATACTGGAGAGAAGTCCTACAAATGTAAATTGTGTGGCAAGAGTTTCAGTCAAAAATCATCACTTACTCAGCACGAGCAAATCCACACTGGAGAGAAGCCCTACAAATGTAGAGATAGTGGCAAAGATTTTAATCAAAATTCATCACTTACTCTACACCAGAGAATCCATACTAGAGAGAAGTCCTATAAATGTGAAGAATGGCAAAGCTTTTAATATTGAAGATCACATCTTACTAAACATTATAGATTTTATACTGGAGAGAAGTTTTACAATGAAAACATTACATCAGTGTCTTTAAGGATATATCAATCCCTATTTAACAGTAGTTCAACACTATTTCACACCAGAGATATGATAGCACAGAAATTATATAAATGTAAAATAGGTGACAGAGTCTCCAATAGTTGTTCACACCGTATTCAGCACCTCAGAATTAATACGAGTGAGAGGACATGCAGAAAAATTTTTGCAAAGCTTTTGGCCATTGATCAAACATTTTTAAAACAATGCAGGATTTATAGCATTTAGAAACCCAAAGAATGTGTCTAAGACTATTCAAATTTCAGACGTTTTATATTTCTCATCTCATATCTGTAGCAAATGTGGAGTAGCATTTGTCCAAAGTGTGTATCTTAGATAACAGCAAAATATTTACAAAAACAGCTTGACAAATATAAAGATGGTAGTAAGTTTTTTATCTATAGCCTATCCCTTGAAGTATTTGGGACCTAGGTGGAAAAATTCATTTAAATGTAGAAAATGGGTAATTGCTTTTGACATTTGTTGAAAATTTTCTTAACATCTTTAGCAGATATTGTAGAAATAAGAAATACAAGTACAGAATTGTGCATCCCTAAAATGATATAATTTTAGTATAAATCAACAATTACTAAAGAGTCTCATTTTTCACAACTGGAGAAATAATAATACTCAGAGTTGATTATTTCAGAAGTCTCTTAAGATTTATATGAAATTTAAAATTTAAATTTTTAAGAGCCTCTTAAACTTATGGACACTTAATCAGAAAACCACATCCTCTGATTTTTTTTTAAATTTTTATTTAGAGATAGGTTTTTCTAAGTTGTGTAAGGCCTCACTAAGTTATGGAGCCTGACTTTAAACTTGCAAAGCTTCTCACATCCCTAAGGTCACGGTATGGTCCACCATGCCCGTTTTACAGAGCATTTTTACTTATATTTTATTACAGATTCAATTTGTTACTAAATAAAGTGTGAATTTATTAATGTAATGTCATGCATTTAATGATATTATTAGGTCACACATCTCCCACTATTCACTTTGCTAATGGATCGATTCAATAGTAAAACATTCTATTGGGTAAATGATGCTATAACGTCTCCATTAATTATTTCATATGTTTAATCAAGTATTATTTGGAGAATATTATTTATGTAAATTATATACTCTCTTGTTTGTAATTATGGGAATATTAAGACAGTTATAGGAAGGACGTAGGGATACTAAAATAATGCCCAGAAATCCCTAGTTGGAATTATGAGT